GAGAGAGAGTGTGTGTGTGTGTGTGTGTGTGTGTGTGTGTGTGTGTGAGTGTACGTTTTTGTGACAAATGAGGACATAAATGTGTATAATGACAAAGGTATGACAGGTATTACAAGGAGAAGGTGACTTTTCAGGACATTACCCCATGTCCCCACTTTTCAAAACGCTTATAAATCACACAGAAATGGAGTGTATTGAAAATCTAAATAGCACAAAGTCTCCTGTGAGGGGTAGGTTTAGGGGTAGGGTTGGTGTAGGGCAATAGAATATACGGTCTGTACAGTATAAAAACCATTACGCCTATGGAGAGTCCCCACTTTTCACAAAAACAAACCTGTGTGTGTGAGTGAGTGAGAGTGTGTGTGTGTGTGTGTGATTCTGACATTTACAACAAAGTACTGCGAAACAAACAAATAACTTGCTCTAAACCAACAAGTGCACACTAATATCACGACTGCAGGATAAAACTATCAAAACCATCGTAGCACCAAGTAAACCAGGATTATGGTTAACAAATTTAAAACAAAATATTTTTCACAAAAATATGTTACCTGTAATTAGGTAAAACCTATTTGTTAATGATTTTGAATATATAAATTAATTTAATTATTTATTAATAAAACCTACTATTATTATTATTATTTCAACTAACAGCCAACGCAAAATTGTAATTTAGTTTATTTACTTTTTTATTTTTCATTTATTTTTTGATGTGTCAAAATAACTAAAACTGAAATAAAAATAAAAACATCCTGTTAGACATTTTAAAGAAATAAAAATAATTAAACTGACAAAAATCACACAAAAAATACTACAACAAAATAAAATGAAATGGGTAAAATAAAATATTTTGTTATAAAACTCTAAAAATGAGCAACATGCAGGTGAGAAAACATCTTTAAAGGTTAAATGAGAGGATTTTGTCCATCTTAAATTCAGCCGCCTTGATTATTGTAGATAAAAACAAGTCATGAATTAAGCAACACTGTGTTAGTGGTGTTTATGCGTGTGTGCGCCCTACCTGTGGTGCACTATGTAGGTGATGATGGAGGCGAACAGACAGAGCAGCATGACGGCAGTGCAGGCGTAAACCACCGGGTGCAGGAACTCTCCCGGATACGGAGGGAACGACAGCACCTTCTTCAGATCCTGACACACACACAGAGAGAGAGAATCAGCATCCGACACACACACACACACACACACACACACACACACACACACACACACAGACGCACACACACACACACACACACACACACACACACAAAGAGAGAGAGAATCAGCACCAGACACACACACTCTTGACAGCAGCACGAGAGTCAAAGAGTGCCACTTTCTCGGGAGCAAGAACCATCAAATGTGTTACAAAAACTATTCATGAATATAAAATTAACAGTAGCTAGTTTGTTTATATGATATGTTTATCAATTATAAATATGATAAACATTTGATCATATTTATAATTTCTACAGCATGATGGAAAGACAAGTAAATAATCTCATTTTGCATTCATCAAATTCAAATATTCAACCCAAAACCCAGTTAATGATAGATAGATGACAACATTTTTAATTGGGAAGAAATGTCATCAGTAGTTTACAGAATTAAACAAACAAAAAAAATTACGATTTACTCAAACATAACTATAAAACAGAATTTTCAAGTGGTCCCTTATTAATATTTTTTTTTTCATAGCTGTATATTTATATTTGCTAATAAATATGACTGTGTGCACTTTGATTGATTTAAATGCATTACAATATTTGAAATATAATATTTGACTGTTACCAACATTTCCAGTCATCATTCAGTCTGTTTCCAACAAGACAAACAATACGAAGAAAGAAATTGAAAAGGATTTTCTGGCAGTAAAACATGATAAATGATTGAACAATTACACACTACAATCTGGCATAGCTTCAGATATAGAAATGTGAATAGAAAGAATTTCCACTAATTTACAACAAAGATTATTTTGTAATAAGGTAAACCTATAGTTAAACATGGAAATATGTTCATATAGAGTAAACCCATGACAAACCCCAATTTCAGAAGCTTAATTTTCTGTAACATGTAAAATAGTGATGAAAGCCACAATATTAAATGTCACGGATGTACAGTATATTTACGGAGGAATCCACTATTTTGTAGAGGGGGGTCAAAATAGTAATTTTCACCTGAGATTCAGAGCCAAATTCCAGGAGGGTAAAAACGACTTCAGAAAGATTGCAGCATCACTATATTATTTTTACACAGAGATTCGTAGCTCTAGCCATCTTTGTTGCATTATGTGCCAAAGGTGACCGTTCAAAAATGGGAAAAAAAGCACTTTGTGTCTTTTTTTCTCCCAAAGTTTGCATGCCTGTAACTCAAGAAGTATTAAAGATATTAAACTGTTTTTGTTCTTCAGACATTGCTCTTTAAATACAAGTATCAGCTGTATGCAACGTGACCTACATTTGGTTTTCGACCATTGAAAATTGGTCAAATTCAACATTTTACACACGGAGCTGCATTGAACTCCACATATCTCTGGAACAGAATCATAAAGGGCCTTAAAAACGAAGATCATAAAATAAACGTTTGTTATTAATTAGAATCTAAAACCTCTGACCCTATGGCAGAATATGTACATGACATGAATGAGCTCAAAATGCACGTCCCAGGAGCTACAAATCATTGTGATAATGGCATGAAAAACAGTTAAATGAGGAAAGCTGAGTCTCAGAGGAATCGACTGTAAAATAACCAGAATAACTAGAGGATTATGGCACATCTGTCCTGAAATAACCCGACATATAACACATATGAAGACAGAAGTCAGCTGATTATATCCCAGCAGTGCTGTAAAGAACATGTTTCCTCTCAAATATTACTATGATCATTATTAAAACACAAACTAACAGCAGGAATCCTCTCTAGATCCGCTTGAGCTTAAATGAGCCGAATTACATTTCTATCTGACTGAAAACCCCTTAAATAACGTTACAGATCCTTATCTGTTAAATGCAAGAATAATCAGCTTGTTTAATTCCAGTTACTTCCAGATCAATGTTTTGAAAGCGTCACTCTTCAGTATCTACCATCAAAAAATAATAATAATAAAAGATAAAAGCCGGTATATTTTTAGATGCATTATACAGTCGAACACATCAATAATGCGCTGAGCTGTCTTCAGCTGACTCGGTGTCTTTCTCTGACAGCGTCTCGCAAGATTCCCTGCAAATGTAACACTGATAGTAAATGCTGCTCATTATATAAGCAGGAGTTTTGTTTAAAAAGCTGGAAAGTGTAAAGACATTAATACTTTTATTTAGCAAGGACACATTCAATTGATCAAAAGTGTCAGCAAAGACATTTATGATGTTACAAAAGATTTCTATTTCAAATTATTGTTGATCTTTTGAGCTTTCTATTCATCTGTGAATCTTGAAAAGTAAAATGTATCACGGTTTCCACAGAAATACCTATTTGTCAGCACAGCTGTTTTCAACATTGATAATAATCAGAAATGTTTCTTGAGCATAAATCAGCACATTGGAATGATTTCTGAAGATCATGTGACACTGAAGACTGGAGTAATGATGCTGAAAATACAGCTTAGTTCAAATCTAAATCAAACGATTCGCAAACCTGCTCTGAAGTCCCAATCTGAATAGTTTTTGCTAGTGAGTCACGAGTTTGAATCAATCGGAGTGGTTCCAGCAAAAACGACTCACTCAATTTGTCTGTTCCTCCGCTTTTCTCGTCTTCAGTCATGTTTACACGACACTGTCAGCACTATACTGGCTCAGCTCGCTAGTGTTATGACATTAACTGAAATAAGCAGGGGGAAAAAATTATATTTACTAATAAAATATCCATGTTTCCATTCCAAAGATAACATCCAACACAAATCTAGGAACATATAAGATATTAAACTGTTTTTGTTCTTCAGACATTGCTCTTTAAATACAAGTATCAGCTGTATGCAACGTGACCTACATTTGGTTTTCGACCATTGAAAATTGGTCAAATTCAACATTTTACACACGGAGCTGCATTGAACTCCACATATCTCTGGAACAGAATCATAAAGGGCCTTAAAAACGAAGATCATAAAATAAACGTTTGTTATTAATTAGAATCTAAAACCTCTGACCCTATGGCAGAATATGTACATGACATGAATGAGCTCAAAATGCACGTCCCAGGAGCTACAAATCATTGTGATAATGGCATGAAAAACAGTTAAATGAGGAAAGCTGAGTCTCAGAGGAATCGACTGTAAAATAACCAGAATAACTAGAGGATTATGGCACATCTGTCCTGAAATAACCCGACATATAACACATATGAAGACAGAAGTCAGCTGATTATATCCCAGCAGTGCTGTAAAGAACATGTTTCCTCTCAAATATTACTATGATCATTATTAAAACACAAACTAACAGCAGGAATCCTCTCTAGATCCGCTTGAGCCGAATTACATTTCTATCTGACTGAAAACCCCTTAAATAACGTTACAGATCCTTATCTGTTAAATGCAAGAATAATCAGCTTGTTTAATTCCAGTTACTTCCAGATCAATGTTTTGAAAGCGTCACTCTTCAGTATCTACCATCAAAAAATAATAATAATAAAAGATAAAAGCCGGTATATTTTTAGATGCATTATACAGTCGAACACATCAATAATGCGCTGAGCTGTCTTCAGCTGACTCGGTGTCTTTCTCTGACAGCGTCTCGCAAGATTCCCTGCAAATGTAACACTGATAGTAAATGCTGCTCATTATATAAGCAGGAGTTTTGTTTAAAAAGCTGGAAAGTGTAAAGACATTAATACTTTTATTTAGCAAGGACACATTCAATTGATCAAAAGTGTCAGCAAAGACATTTATGATGTTACAAAAGATTTCTATTTCAAATTATTGTTGATCTTTTGAGCTTTCTATTCATCTGTGAATCTTGAAAAGTAAAATGTATCACGGTTTCCACAGAAATACCTATTTGTCAGCACAGCTGTTTTCAACATTGCTAATAATCAGAAATGTTTCTTGAGCATAAATCAGCACATTGGAATGATTTCTGAAGATCATGTGACACTGAAGACTGGAGTAATGATGCTGAAAATACAGCTTAGTTCAAATCTAAATCAAACGATTCGCAAACCTGCTCTGAAGTCCCAATCTGAATAGTTTTTGCTAGTGAGTCACGAGTTTGAATCAATCGGAGTGGTTCCAGCAAAAACGACTCACTCAATTTGTCTGTTCCTCCGCTTTTCTCGTCTTCAGTCATGTTTACACGACACTGTCAGCACTATACTGGCTCAGCTCGCTAGTGTTATGACATTAACTGAAATAAGCAGGGGGAAAAAATTATATTTACTAATAAAATATCCATGTTTCCATTCCAAAGATAACATCCAACACAAATCTAGGAACATATTCAGGTGAGGTAACCGGTTTACTGCTAACTAGTGAAACACTCCATTAATATAACGAGCTGCAGCTCAAAATACATGTTAGATGGAAACATTGTGCATTATGATGGAGTTTGTAGCTTAAAGGGTTATTTCACCCAAAAATGAAAATTAGCCCATAAATTACTCACCCTTAAGTCATCCTAGGTGTATATGACTTTCTTCTTTCAGGTGAATCCAGTTGGAGTTATATTAAAAATTATCTTTGATCTTTCAAGCTGTTTAATGCCACTCAGCAGGTGTTGCATGCATCAGTCCAAAAGAAGTTAAATAAAAAGCGCCCATCCATAAAAAAAAAAATTAAAAAAAGTGTCTCACACAGATCCGGGGGGTGAACAAAGGCCTCCTGTAGTGAATCGATGCGTTTTTGTAAGAAAAATATCCATATTCACAACGTAATAATCACT